AGAGAATTTATAAGTTCCCAAGTGATCCTGAAGCTGCTGGTCCAGGGACCTTCGTTTTGAGAATCCCTGTAATAAAATAACATGTCCCTGATCAATTTCTACTATCACTCCTCCCTGAAGCCTTCTTTGATCTATCCAAATTGATCTTTCTTCTTAAAATGGATGTACTGGAACCTAAAAACAGATCTCTTATCTACTGGACATAGCCCCAATTAAATGACAGATAGCCAGATAGACACAATCTTCCATATATTTTGTGTGCAACCACATTAAACCAGTGAATGTTCAGTAATTGTTGGCAATTTCTCTACTTTTCAGTTGCTTGTTCTGTACTTGAATAAAACTTGTGCTATTATAAAATTTCCATTTTATATTTATCTGCATCCAAGCTACAATTTTTAGGTACAATTTTAATTTAGTATTGTTACCAGAAGTTTATGTATCATGGACAATACTGTTTGATCTAAATTGACCATCATCAGATTTATTGTTTAACTGTTGGAATAAATAAAAAATATATGTGGTAAGAATCTGAGTGGAGATGTTGAGAAGTAGGCACAGTTTTTGAGAGTATTAGTATCAATAAGTTTTCTTTTATTTTTTAAAGATTTTATTTATTTATTTTTATAGAAAGAGGGGAAGGGAGGGAAAAAGAGAGGGAGAGAAACATCGATCAGTTGCCTCTGACTGGGGGACCAAACCTGCAACCCAGGCATATGCCCCAACCTAGCATGAATTGAACACCCACTTTTCACTTTATGAGACAATGCCCAACCAACTGAACCACACCACTCAGGGATCAATAAGGTTACTTTTAAAATATCTCCTCTGTAAGATAATTTCAGTTATTCTCTAATGATTAACTTCCATTTATCTCTAATGAGCACTGTCTTAAAAATCCAGATTTGTAAGCTGTATACTTATCACTGTGAATCAATAAAACAGTTAGTTGTACTAACACTTCTAATTAAGCTTAATTCCTAATAAGTTTCCACTGCAAATTATTGTTCATCTAGCCTACCATAGTTGTGAAATTGGAAAAAAATCTGAAAATGCTTGCTTTAAATATCACTTGAGTACCTTCTGAAAAGTAAAACTGTAAAAATTATTCAGGGATAAAGTATACTGATGCCTGCAGCTTTGAAATGCATCCGAAATACAGTGAATTAATGAAGGAATATGTGGTAAAGCACATGTACATCAAAATGATAAGAATTACAGAATCTAGATGTTGGAAATATGGGTATTCGCTGAGAGGTTTTTCAACTTTTTTTTTAAAGTTTGACATTTTTCATAATAAAATGTTGGAAAATGTTAACTTACACTTATCCAGAATTTATGGAGATTATACATATAAGTATATTGTGTGTATGAGATTAAAATATGAAATTGCTATTAAGTAAAAAACATAAATATAGGCAATTTCATTAGGTTCAACATAGTATGAAGATTGTTCTGAATAAACATGTTTTTTAAGTCTAACAAAAATATTAACATACCATTAAATTTTTCAGTAGATACATTTTTTGCATTTAATTTTTTTCCTGATAACTGAAATGACTTAATTTAATATTTGGCTCACCTTAATACTGATTGATTATGCTACTCTAGCTGTGCTTAGATGCATACACTTATATTCCATTATTGAAAGTTTCTACAGTCTTGCCTGCCTCCTTACAACCTATCAACTGGGCCAAGACAAAGAAATATGGCCCAAATGAAAGACCAGAGTAGAGCCTCAGAAACAGAGCTAAGCGAGGAGGAGATCGCCAACCTATTTGATGGAGAATTTAAAGCTCTGGTAATCAGAATGCTCACAGATCTGATTGAGCTGGGTCGAAAAATGAAAAAACATGAAGGATACCCAAAGTGAAATAAAGCAGGATGTTTAGGGAACCAACAGTGACAGGAAGGAAACCAGGACTCAAAGCAACGATTTGAAATCAAAGGAACAAATAAACATCCATCCAGATCACAGTGAAGAAACAAGAATTCGAAAAAATGAAGAGACTCTTACAAACCTCTGGGGTTTGAAACAATCTGAAACATTCCAATATCCAAATTATAGGAGTTCCAGAAGGAGAACAACAACAGCAAGAAACTGAAAACTGAATTGGAACAGATAATAAAGGAAAGCTTCCCCAATCTGGTGAAGGAAATAGACTTCCAGAAAGTCCAGGAAGCCCAGAGAGTCCCAAGGAAGTTGGACCCAAAGAGAAACACACCAAGGCACATCATTAAGTTACCCAAGATTAAAGACAAGGAGGGAATCTTAAAAGCTCCAAGAGAAAAGGAAAGAGTTACCCTACAAAGGAGTTCCCATAAGGCTATCAGCTGATTTCTCAAAAGAAACCTTATAGGTAAGAAGGGGCTGGAAAGAAGTATTCGAAGTCATAAAAGGCAAGAACCTAAATCCAAGATTACTCTATCCAGCAAAGCTCTCATTTAGAATGTAAGGGTAGATAAAGTGCTTCCCAGATAAGATCAAGTTAAAGGAGTTCATCATCACCAAGCCATTATTATATGAAATGTTAAAGGGACTTGTCTAAGGAAAAGAAGATAAAAAATATGAACAGTAAAATGACAACAAACTCACAACTATCAACAAATGAACCTAAAAGAAAAGAAAAACAACAAATACAAACTAAGCAAACAACCAGAACAGGAACAGAATCAGAGAAATGAATATCACACAGAGGAATTTCAGTGGGGAGGGGGAAGGGAGGAATAGGTGGGAAAAGGTGGGGAGAAGAAGCATGGTTAGTAGGCATAAGGGAGAGATAAAAAAATGGTATGGGAGAGGACTCAAAGAACTTAGTATATGTACAACCCATGGACATGGACTGAATGGGGGGGATCCTGGAGGGTTAGGGTGCAGGGCAGAGGGGGATAGAGGGGGGAAATTGAGAAAACTATAATAGCATAATCAATAAAAATATCAATAAAAACAAAACTGTGAACATTAAAATGGAAATAAACACATAACTATCAATAAAAAAAGCTTCTACAGTCTTCCTATATTTTGTTACCAAAGTGATACATCTTATTTCCCAGATGTACACAAATATATTTACAAAACCACCTCAGTTGTGGGGAAAATACATAACACCTTAATTAACTGGTCTATTTGTTCTATACTTATCTATCGAAATTTTATGCAGAAATTGTAGGTTAAAACCCAAACCGTGGAGAGTGGTAAAAGTTGCACAACAACGTCAAGGTACTTACTTCTACTTAACTGTACTCTTAAATGGTTAAAGTAGTAGTAAGTGTTGTTATGTATATTTTACCGCAATAAATTTTTTAAAAAGAAAGGAGGAGGGGCATTTTTAGATAACCATAAGATAATGTGAAAATCGAGACAGCTTGGCTGAGGTGGGTCAGAGGGTCAGCGAGCTAAACAAACACTACCTACCTCCTGTTCCTACCTAGGTTGTATGAAATCTGACTGGATTTGAAAGCTGAGTAAAATCATAATTTTGGATATTGTTGCCATGAATTTAGTTCAGTTTAATTGGAGCACACAATTAAAATTCATGTTCTGCAGGAACTAGAGATCTCACCCATCTTTAGTACCTGACTACATAGTCTTTCCCACTGAGCTAGTTATTCTGAAAGAAGCCACTTACCTAAGTGAAAAATACACAGTAGGTAAGAAGCTTTAATTAGCAGTTTCCAGTTGTGCATTCATACTTTAATTGGGTGGGGGGGGGGAGGTTGAAAGTTCTCATTGAGTTACATTGTATTTGCCCTGATGGAACTTGTCAAAACCTAATTCCACAAGAACAAATCAGACCTCTTAAAGTGCCTGTTAAACAAAATGGGAAAATGTTATAAATTTAGCCATCTCAATAGAATTTTTTCTCAATATAAGAAGCATCCAGATTTGAGACATCTGGATTTCAAATGTAATACATACAATTCCAGAAAAAGGAAAACCAACCCTGGCTGGTGTGACTCAGTGGATTAAGCACTGGCCTGTGAATCGAAAGGTCGCCAGTTTGGTTCCTAGTCAGGGCACATTCCTGGGTTGCAGTCCAGGTCCCCAGTTGGGGGTGTGCAAGAACCAAATGATCAGTGTTTCTCTCCCTCCCATCCACTCTCTCTAAAAATAAATGAAATCTTTTTTGAAAAAAAGGAAAACCAATCATACCTATAATGGAGTCATGTAGGCCAAAATTTATCATATCATTATCCCAAAACAATTTCTCTTTTTTCTTGTAAGATTTTACTTGTTTATTTTTAGAGAGGGGGGGAAGAGTGGGAAAGAGAAACATCAATGTGCAAGAGAAACCTCAATTGGTTGCCTTTTACACCGCCCCCCAACCAGGACCTGGCAAGCCAGGCATGTGTCCTAGCCATGAATCGAACTGGCAGTCTTGTTTGCAGGCCAGCATTCAATCCACTGTGCCACACCAGCCAGGGCCTAAAACAATTTATCTTGATGTCTTCATCTCTTCTTTACTTTGTGCTGTTTTTTTTTTTTTAATAATGTTTCTCTTATAGTTATGCTTTACCAGAAAGAGAAATGGTGGGGGGGGGGTGGTTCCTCAGTTGAAAATTAAATGAGAACATATATAAAATCACTTGTGCAATACTTTGGTTTTTTCAAGAGACTAAAAGGTTAGTGTTGAAATGGGGAAAACACTGAATTTCATATATTTCTGTGCTTACCACCCCTCAAAGAATTAAGTCTTATAAAACAAAAGCAGCTTGAGGGTTGCCTCCTTGGGTTCATTGCAGAAGATAACTACTAGAAGGATGGAAGAAATTACATAAAAACAAAATTCAGAAAACACATTCTGCAGATGAATACAAGGGAACTCTGGAAAAGAAACTATTCTACTAGTAATGTATTGATGGTTTTGTCTCCTCAAATCTTTTAATGTAGAAAAGAGGTATAATATACCATAATAGACTTATCTCATTAAGTGGGGGCTACAGTGGAGAGAAGGATGGGGTCTTAAAGATAATGTGTTATTTTCTCTTTTAATTTACAGAAGTTGCTGGGTGTGTTTTGCCACTGATGAAGATGATAGAACTGCTGAATGGGTTAGACCATGCAGGTGCAGAGGATCTACAAAATGGGTGCACCAGGCTTGTCTGCAGCGCTGGGTGGATGAAAAACAAAGAGGAAACAGCACCGCCAGAGTGGCATGTCCTCAGTGCAATGCTGAATACTTAATAGTTTTTCCAAAGTTGGGTAAGACCTTTAAAAGTAACACAGATACATGCGATGTTATTATACATAACTCTGTGATCTTGGGTTTTTTTTAAACTGAGCTGTCTTTGCCTTTTTTGTGAATTTCTTATTCTGTTTCTGTTGTTTCCTCTCTAAATGTCAGGCATTTATTTGTTTTGCTAACAGTTTACATTATTTTTAATATATTCCCAGATGCGTTCATTTGTCTCTGCATTAGATGTTTTCATTTGGTTAAGTGGATAAAGGACTTGGACCTCTAGCTAACCTTGTGGATAAAGCTACAATAAAAAGCTGATTAAAGAGCTTCATTCTCTGGAGACCCTTGATGTAGGAAAAAGAAAACACTGTGTTCTTTCTAATATTCTTAATTCTTCTATTAAGAAATAAAAGCAGGGAAATGAAAGATTTAGTAAAAGACAGTGTCATCATCTTTGGAACCCAATGTATATGGTTTTCTTTCATGAAAACTGCTGTCCTTTTTCTGCAAATTGGCGAGCAACAAACACCCCAAGATCTTTGAGGATGGAGCTAGCATTGGAAAAAAGTATAGCAGACTGTTGAAAGGATGCTGTAACTAAAACTGATGTTAACTTGGCATGTTCCATCACAGCCATATATTTATGAACTGGTGTCTTTCTCTTTAGTATTTATGCCATGCCAGTTATAACCGCTTTTAATACCATACTTTGCTGTAGTCAAGAGGTATATGAAGGCAGTTTGAGTTCTGAGAAGGTCGGAAGGAATGACGTTGTGGGGAAGAAGGTTCAAAGAGAAATTGGGAATAATTATTAGGTATGTTTTTCTAGACATCAAAATCAGGCACAATTTTTTAAATAAGGCAACATAGATGCAAATAATGAACTGTTTTTATAATGTGAAAAGATTAATATTAAGAGCAAACAAAATTTCCATAGTTGTCTATATTATTCTAGCATTGTGCATAGGAAGAAATGCTAGCTTCCTATGAGATTAGCATTGTAGAGAAAGTAAGCACAAAAGAGTAATCCAAAAATTTTTATTATAATATCAAATTGGTATTTTAAATAATTTAAATTAACCTCAGTAAAAACAATCACTGCTGCAGTCTTTAACCACATTGATATATGGCTCACAAAATCAGAGTTAAGTTTTCAAATTTAACTGTTTCTTTTCTTATTTGTTAGTTCTACTAAATTAGATAATCCTGGTTTTCAACTATAGGTTGTTGGGAATAGTGGGACATATAGGATGATTCTGTTAGATATTTTAGATATTTTAGATATTCAGATATATGGAAACAAAAATTATTGCAAGAATTCTCACTGAAAAGTACAAACAACATGAGATGAGACGCTGAGTTGACAGTGGTTGGCACTCCCCAGCGAAGGTGAAGATTTCAGTTTGGAAGATGGCAGTGGATAAATCTACCCTTTGGTGGTTTCAGTTCTAGGAAGCATGTTCCTAAGTTCAGTGTGGTGATTGAATGCTATTCTTAAGTATACCTTATGTTGATTTCCTTTACAAGGAAATAAAATGGCTAAATGTTGGAAAAGTCAAACCCTTTTGTTAGCCATTTGTATCATGATTTGGTCTTCATATTTTATCCTTAAGAATTGTTACTTCACCCTCAAATGATAGGTTCAAGTTCTTTGTGTCATGGAGATCTGCCACTTAAGTAAGCCACAGATAATCATAGAGATTTTTAGTGACCTCATCAGTGTCATGAAAAAAATTATATCTTTTATTCGAATAGTTTTATTAGCATCTTTTCTCCTGACAAGATAAAAGAGCAGAGTCTTCTATTTGTTTTCTTCACATAGCATGCTAAAGATACCTGCTCAGGAGCTGCTGTCTGAATGATATTCATAATTTTCTGGGCACCTTTTTAACAGTGACTCAAGAATAGAAGGCTTGTTGTCAAATGGCAGCTATTGTCTATGAGTGGAGCTATGTATGAATTGGCTTTCAGGTGCCATACTCTTCCTTGCTACATATATGTAATGGCTAGTGGTCTTGACCGTACTCTTCCAAATATACCTTTTCAAGTCAAGGTTCAAAAATAATTGTTGGTTAAAAGAAATTTCTTCTCTATAGCATTTTTTCATTGGAAATCAGAACTTAAAGTTGCCTAATGTTTTTTGATTATCTGTATACCAGAAGTTGATTTATACTCAAAACACTAGTAGTTTTGTGCAACCATAAATTATTTAAGACCATACATCTGTGATAGTAATTGTTCTTCCTCACTGTGTACCACACATATTATATAATGTCCAGTAGTGGCTTCTGATGATAGAATTTTGCCAGTCGATTTTTTTCTCTCTGAGCATATTTGTCATTCATTTTGAAGTTGACTATAGTTTATCTGTTTTTGTTAAGTTGAAGTTCCCTTGTTTGCAGTTTCTAATACTTGCTTTCAATGACAAAATTTATAATTCAGGCATTGATTGGTTTATTTTACTACATTGGTTGAAAATTAAATGAATGCTTCAGTGGCTTCTTGTCAGTTGTTATGTGTTTCAGTTCCTGTTTAATAATGTGTTAGAATACAGTGGGAAAACAAGAGGTCTCCAAATGTAATCAGCCACTCCTAATTTACTGATCACAGCTCATTCTAACATAACACTATTTTCATTCAGTGATCAGTGTTTATCATTTGTGGCATTCTGAGTTAGATGTGTTTTACTCTTCAGTGAACACATTGAGGCATTAGTTCATTTTCCTAAATTTGGGGTTTAGCACATTATGATAGTAAGGACAAAATATCTATTTAACCAATGTAAACAATTCACATAATGCAAGTTTGTTAGCTGAAACAGTCCTTTATTAACTATCTTTGTAGTGTATGTGTGACCCTTGGAACATAACCATTAACCTAAAAGAATTTCCTTGAAAGTCATGATTAATCTTACTTTCCAGATTTGTGAAGTGTTATGTGATCAAAACTTTTATCATTTTTTATTAAATTGTCTGTAGACCAGTTAGTTAATTGCCAGGGGACCACCACTGGTCCCCAAACAACACTTAAAAAACACTGGCTAGAAGAAGGAATAAAAGATGAGGGGGTAAAAAAAAAAAAACAGAAGGGAAGAGTTGATGGTTAACATTCTATGGGATGATCCCTGTGTAGCAGGTATTTTAAAAGTTTTCATGTGGATTTAGCCTCAGTCTGCTTGGCTAGCTGGCAAAGTCTGCGTCTTTTCTGGTACTTAACAGTGGTGGCCAGAATGGGGGGCAGGGGTGTCAAGTATGTGTTCTTAATTGTTGATAGGGAGTATAGTGTGCTGTTATGAAAAACTTAAGAGGACTCCTAAGATTCACATTCCTCTCAGTATTTGCCACCTACATTCGGGTTTGCTTTCTTTGGGCAATTGTATATATGCAACTACATTCTTAAAAACAACACAAAGTGTGATCTGAGGACCAACAACATTGGAATCCTCTTAGGAGCTGTTAGGAATGAAGAACCTTAGCCCATTCCCCCACCAACCCCCAGTTTCACTTCAAAATTTGCATTTTCATGGGATCATCAGATAATGTATGTGCACATTAAATTTAAGGGGCATTACTTTATTTTTTTAAGCTTTATTTATTCTTGGAGAGGGGGAAGGGGGAAAGAAAGAAAGGGAGAGAAACATTGATGTGCAAGAGATACATCAGTTGGTTCCCTCTCTCACACTGCTAACTGGGGGCCTGGCCCACAACACAGGCATGTGCCCTGACTAGGAATCGAACTAGCGACCTTTTTGTTCACAGGCCAGCACTCAATCCACTGAGTCACACCAGCGAGGGAAAGGAGCATTACTTTAAAACATGAAAGGAATACCAGTTGAAAAAGTTTGTTTTTCATTAAAAATAAAGAATTTTTCCATAATGTTTAAGACCAGGTAGTAACTTTTTTTCTTTAGCTGAACAGGTAATTCAGGGGTGATATCTTGAGGGCAGAGGTCTTGATTCCTTTTTTTCCCCCCATTTCTTTTGATGATGTTTTGTAATTTTCAGTGTACAGGTCTGTTTTGTTCAATTTATTCCTAAGTATTCTTTTTGAGGCTCTTTTTAATGGAATTGTTTCCTTAATTTTATTTTCAGATTGTTTTTGTGATTGTGTAGAATATAATTGATTTTTGTATTTTGATCTTGTATCCTGCAACTATGCCAGAACTTGTTTAATAGTTCTGACAGTTTTTACAGTCAATTGCTTAGGATTCCCTGTATACAAAATCATTCATTTGTGAACAGAGACAATTCTACTTGTTTTTCAGTCTCAGTGCTTTTATTACCCTGGTTACAGCCTCCATTATAATGCCAAATGGAAGTGGTAAAGAACAGAGATCTTTGTCTTTTCTTTTTTCTTTCTTTCTTTTATTTATTTATTTATTTATTTATTTATTTATTTATTTATTTATTTATTTTAATCTTAAGGGAGGAACAGTTTTTCACCGTTAAGTATGTTATCTCTGGGTTTCCAGTAAACTTTATCAGGTTGACGTGTTCCTTCTATTTCACTGTTTTTACCATGAAACGGTGTTAAATTTTGTCGAATGCTTTTCTGCATCTGTAGAGATGATCAAGTGGTTTTTATCCTGTATTCTATTAATATGGTATACTACATTAATTGATTTTCATTTGTTAAACCAACTTTACATTTCTGAGATAAATTCCACTTGGTCATGGTGTATTACCCATTTTAGATATTGTTGGATTTTATTTGCTAAGATTATTTGTTGGAATATAATTGTTCATAGTCCCCTTTTTATTTCTATTAGGTTCGTATTAATGTTTCCTCTTTGATTCATGATTTTGGTAATTTGACACTTCTCCCTTTTTTCTTGGTCAGTCAAGTTAAAGTTTTGTCAATTTTGTTAGTCTTTTCAAAGACTCAACTTTGCTTTCATTGATTTTTCTCTTTTTTTGATTTTCTATTACGTTTATTTCCACTCTAGTCTTTATTATTTCCTTCTTTCTGCTTGATTTGGGTGTAGTTTGCTTTTCTTTTTCTAGTTTTTAATGGTGGAAGTTTA